ATGCTACATGAACCCTCAGAGACTCTCTAACCGAGATTCTGCTCCTGAAAGGTCCTCCAATAAATGTGCCTTCAGCACTGAAGGAAGCCCCAAACACAACCTGCATTATGACAATGACAAAATCTTGTTTGCTGGAAGTGTGTAGGACTTGAAACACCTACTGCCAAAGATCAAGGACTAGAGATTTCCATATGGATTACACCCCAACATCAAGGAGACAAAGGACCTGATGAAGAAAGAACTAAAGCTGTCAACGATTTCATCTTGTGTGGATCAACAATCCACACCCTTGGACCAGCAGTCAGAAAATCAGAAAACCTATTGCACTGAGCAAGTAAGCTGTCAGGGACTTCTCCAAAGTACTGAGGAGCAATGATGTCAGTTTGAAGAGTACGGTGCCCCTGATTCAGGCCACGGTCTCCTAAATCACCTGCTACACATCAGAGAACTGGACAATGAATATGGATGACAGAAGAACTGATGCCTTTGAGTTGTGGTGCTGGGGAAGAGTACTGAATATCCCATGGACTACCAAAAGAACAAACAGAAGTGTCTTGAAGAAAGTGCATCTATAAACAATCCTTGGAGATCAAGATGGCAAAGCTTTGTCTTTCTTACTTTGTACATGGAGCTAGGCAAGGTTACTCCTTGGAAATGGACATCCTGTAACCCTCGATCAGGTTTCTGAGAAGAAGATGGTCCACCTTTCTCCCACTGAGGGGCTGATAGGTCTCAACCACTAGAGATACACGCCCCTCGGTGTGTGGTTCAACACACTATAGACTACCCACCAGACTCCAGAGCACATTCACTAGACTCGGAATAATAGAGAAAACCAAAAACCAAAACTGATTTCTCATTAAGAAAACATCAAATCTATACAATAAAAAGCTCTCCTGAAGAGCGAGAAACTAGTTTCCTCCTTGGAGGCAAGGATTTTAAAATTCCATCTCACATACTTTGGGCATGTCTTTGGGAGAGACCAGTCCTTAGAGAAGGACATCATGTTTAAAAGGGTAGAAGGTCAGCAAGGAGAGGAAGATTCCTGATGAGATTGACTGACATAGTGACTGCAGCACCAGGGTCAGGTCTGTCAGAGACAGTGAGGTTGACTCAGGATAGGGTAAAGTTCAGAGCTATTGTTCATAGGGTTGCTATGGGTCATAATTGGCTGGAGGGCACATAACAACAACAAACAACATAGACACACACTAGGGGGAACCCTGGTGGTACAGTGGGTGAAGGCTTGGACTACTAACCAAAAAAGATCAGAGCTTTGGACCCATCAGCATCTCTGCAGGACAAAGAGGAGGCTGTCTACTCCTGTAGAGACCTGCAGCCTCAGGAAACATGCAGGGCAGTTCCACTCTGTCCGACGGGACAAGAAGGAGCTGGAATCGAGTTACCAGAAGTGGATGTTGGGCGTGTTAGACATCTATCAACACAGGAGTCGCAGCAGCTGTTGACACGTGGCTGGTGAGAAACTGAAATGTGGCTCGTATGAATAAGGAACTCAATTTTTCACTTATTTCTTTTTGTAGCTAACTTAAATAACCACATGTAGGTTAGTGGCCATGGTGAACACCACCTGGTATATCAAATGAGAGTGGCCGTTTGCTGCATGGCGTTTAAATGTATCGTCACCTGAGACTGAGTCCAATTGCAAAGAATGCTGTGACAGGTTATGGATGTCTGTAGCACGACAAAGGACCTCTGGTGGCTTAGTGTGTTAGGTAACAGGCTGCCAATCCAAAGACTGTGGTTCAAACCTACCAGCCAGCCCACAGGAGGAAATGAACATCCTCCTCTTGTAAAGATTAACAGCCTTGGAAATCTGATAAAGAGTTACCGGGACTCAGTGGCAGTGGGCTCAGTCTCATTTTGGTACCAGGACGGAGGAGGATGGCCTTCATCATGCTTGCAGGTTCTGTTAAAGAATTCTGTCTCCCCTTTCACCAAAAGAGAACCTTTTTCTTCTAACATTTACCCTGATTCCCCAACACAAACAGGTCATTTTCATCTCTTGTAAAAAATGAAATTGACTCAAAGAGCCAAATAACAGGGAGAAAAGAAAAGGTAGGGTGGGAGGGGAAGAACGTCACCCAGGATAATGTCCTTCCATACTCAGAGAAACTCAGAGAAGAAATAATGGGTTCTGGCAGAGTCACAAAATTACCTGAAATCAACTGAGGGTTAAACTATCAATTATTTTAAAGTTACAAGTCTTTCTTCAGCGACGTTATAGATTGTACTAAGGGTAAATCATTAATATGATTTGATAATCTCCCAAAAAATGATGACTGAGTAAATCACATCATCTGTTTTCAAGGCAGAAAGAAGATGCTAATGATATTGCAAAGGAAACCACTATGCCCAGATTGAAAGAACCACATCCCCTAGCACTTTAAATCATACTCTTTACTTTCTGATAAAAGAAGAGAAACTTTGTTATACAAATATCAACAAACAGTACTGGCAAACCTCAGAAATATTACAGGTACCACTCCAACCTCCACGAAAAAGCAAACAAGGCTTTAACAAAACAAGGCTTTCACAAGGCTTCTCGGTGCATGTAAAAGTTATAATGACACCAACACTGAAATAGAAGACCAGGAAACATACTGCATTGGGCAAGTCTGCTGCCTGGGACCTCTCTTAAATACTGAGAAGCAGTGATGCTAGTTTGAAGACTATGGGGTGCCTGATTCAGAAAATGGTCTTTTCAATTATTTGCTATGCCTCTGAAAGCTCGACAATGAATAAGGATGACAAAGAATTTATGCCTTTGAGCTCTAATGTTGGAGAAGAATATTAAACAGCCCATGGACTGACAAAAGAGCAAATGACTATATTGGAACGGACCCACACCTGACCCTTCCAGAAGGTTTCTAGAGTCAGTTAGTTAATTGCATGGAGGAGATTGCCCAACTTCTCCCACAGGGCAGCTGGTGGCCTGGAACCACTTGCCTTTAGGATTGCAGGGCAGCTTCTTGCCTCTAGGGCACCAGAGCTCCCTATGTTCCAACACAGTGTTTACTATCTTATCTATCCATTCTTTTCCTGCTCTCCCTGCCAGTACCTAATCTATTACATTCTATTTTTGTAACAGTGGTCTTATGCAGTCTTTGTCTGTGACTTTTGTGACTAAGTTGTTTCATACTCCGTATGATGTCATAGTTGGAGCTCTGGTAGCCTAGTGGTAGGAAGCTATGCTACAGTCCCAAAAGCACATGGTTTGACTCCACCAGCTGCTCTGTCAGAAAGGATGGGGTGACAAGGAAAGGATAGGTAATAGAGATTGGCTGATGATTGGGTAGCATGAGAGAAAGGGTGGACACGAAAAATTGTGTAAGATGTGAATAATGGCATTATTCAACTGCAATGAATGTTATAAAATAAAATGTATATGAGTGACTCAAAACTAATACAACAAAAGTGAAGTTTTTTTAAACCCAAAAGTGAATTTTTTTAAAACTCCACTAGAGGGTCAGCTATGAGTTAATTCCAATGTGACAGTACATACAACAAAAAACAGTAATACACCTTTTCACTTAAAACCTCACAATAGCTACCACAGCAAGATAATAGGCTTCTCCTAACCCAAATTAGTATTTTCCTGGTATTCTGTATATGAAAATGCAACTTATCCAATCAGAGTTATCTTACTTAAGCATCAAAAGTTGGTTCTATGGCCTGACTCTCAAGGAGAACACTCTACTGAGGCCCTATGAGATGAGAAAAGTGATGGTACAACAAAAACTCCACTGTTACAAGTTTAAAAGACTCTTTCTGTAACCAAAATGGAAATGTACTTAACAAGAAAAGCTGTCATTGCTTGTCCCGTCATGCAACAAATGGCTGTTGTACTTCTTTCATTAAAATACCATCACTCTCTCACCCCAATCAGAATAGCAAAATTTAACAGCAAGCAACAAATGCTGGCGAGGTTGTGGAGAAACTGGAACCCTTATTCATTGTTGGTGGGAATGTAAAATGATGCAACCCCTGTGGAAGGCAGTATGGCGCTTTCTCAAAAAGTTGCAAATGGAGATACTGTTTGACCCAGCAATTCCACTACTGGGAATATATCCCAAAGAGACCATAACGGACATCCAAGCAGATATATGCACACTCATGTTTATCGCAGCTCTGTTCACAACAGCAAGGAGTTGGAAACAACCCAGGTGCCCAACAACAAACGAATGGGTAGAGAAGCTGTGGTATATTCACACAATGGAATAGTATGCTGCATTGAAAAACAAGGAACTCATTCAATATTATTCAAAATGGGTAAGCCTGAAGGACATTATGCTGAGTGAAATATCTCAGTTGCAAAAGGACAAATATTGCATGGTGCCACTGCTGTAAAATGGGACTGATATCAGGGTGGGGGTAAGACTGAGAAAAACCGGATAAATTGTGTATACTGCACTGAAACAGATGAGGGACTGAAAAATTTTAAAGCGATGTATGATAGGGTATTATGGTTATCACAAGAGTCCACAATTAAGGTTGCACAGTGGAATGTACTTGGGGCGGTGGGAGGGGTGCAGGGGATTGTGTACCAGGGAGGGAGTCTTTCTTTTACTTTTCAAAGAGAGGAGCGAACTGGGGGGCGGGGGGAGAGGGCTGGGCGGGGAGAGAACTGCAGCAATGAATGAATGGAAATCCAAATTCTCTGTAAATGTTCATTAAAATTATTAAAAAAATAAAATTTAAAAAAAGAAAAAAAGGGGGGGGAAATACCATCACTCGCTACCTCAATGCTGCCAATGCAGAAGCTGCCCCTCTAGCAGGCTTTCAGAGGCTGTGACACGCACAGGGAACACTGCCCGACCTTCTCCCTCAGAGACACTGATGTAACTGAAGCCCCAGAGAGGCTCTACCTTTGGGTTGGCAGCCCAGTTCCTTCAGATGACACTGCTAGTGCTCCAGTATGTAATATCAAGCTAAAAAAATTAGTACATGGAAACTGTTAAAATACCTTTTTATTCTCTTACCTCTACTATCGTAGTTTCAGCAGCTTTACACATGGGCAAATTGAAGTTCCTTGCACTTTTCCTAAATGATAAGGGAGAGAAACAAGGAGTGAGAAAAGAAAATAAAAAATAAGAGGCATCTCTTCTAGCTTTACATTTCCACAGCTGATTCACAAGAACTAAGAATACGTCCATCGTTTTTTTAAAGACTCTATCAGGCAATGCATATTTTCTACTAATAAAGATTTACAGTTATTTTGCAACTGAGAAAAACACATTTGTCACTTCTTTCAATTTATATTTTTTAAGAGACAAAAGGAATGTCAATATTTTCCAAGTCTGATATAGAGTTTATATACACAAAATGGACTATTAACAAATCTACTCTCTTTAAAGCTAAATTCTCTAAATCTTTTCACTCGGCTGTCGCTTTGTTTCTACATTTATATATTTCACAGACAACTTACTCTCACGTTGAAACATTAAGCAAAGAAATAAGCAAAGTCTTTTAATGACAAGGCTTAGTAATTATATTCTCTGTTAAAAGAAAGCATACTGCTGACATGAAATAATGGAACAGTCCTTGGTAATTTGTGAGTCACCGATGGGGATCATTCCGGAGAATCATTTTGTGGTGAGATTTTTTTCAAAGTACAGCACCCACATCAGACCCTTAGGTGTAAAAATTTCAAGATGTTGCCTTTGCTAATAGTTTCTTATTCCTCAGTTCCTAAGTGTAACGCACTTCCTCTAATGATAAATGTTAAGATGCAATTTTGCTTCTCAAGTATAAAGTGACAGGAAAATTTCTTTGGTAGAGGAAGACAAGTCACAGCTCTGTTTTAGTTTCTCTCCTATGCTTCTTTCACTCAAATTCAAGGATCAGTATTAGAAAGGGTATGTCTCTTGGGAAGGCATTCTTAAGTACAGCTTGCTGTGTTGAATTCTGTCAATAGTTCAGGTATCAAAAGTCCCAAAGACAGAGTAGTCAGAGAGGAAGGAGTATTTGTCTGAGCTTCTCCAAATTCAAAAATGCCCTAAAAGGATCTTTGTAACAGTAATCCCACTAAATGTGAAGACAGTCCTAGAAGTTGGTTCCTTAAAAATCTGTGTCACTTAATTCATGATGACAAGAGCTCACACTTCACATCTAAGATTCCTAAAGTCATACTTCAGGAGAAATGATCTCATGGCCGGGGCCCATTAAGCCATGTGGAGCCTCTGTGTTGCCTTCAACAACAAGAGCAAGGCCATGGGGTACGGGGCCAGTCACGGAAGTATTTCAATACTTAACTTCATCTCTACTTGCAACCATACAAATCTCATTAACAAGCCAAACAAAACACACAGGAAGCAAAATGTCTTCTTAATTGCCAAAACTACAAAAATTAGCTGTCTTCAAGAAATCAATTAAGAGTAAAAAAACCATCAAAGTGCTTTAGAAATGAACAAGAACTACATGCGAGTGGGGACTGAAAATTTAATGATGACATCAAAGTTGTACATAAATTTTTTTTTAAGTTTCTAATTAAAAGTAACAAATGGCAATTTTATAAGAAAGGAAATAATGCACAGCTGAAAAGGTGCAACTTTTTAAGTTTTTAAGACTTTTACTACACATTTTAGAACGTTTAAAGGTTAATTTAAAGGCACACACACATCTTGTATAATCTATTAAATCAAAATATTAAATATCAAGTATTTAGTACTGTAAAGGTTTTACAGTCCAGTAAAGCTATTATCAAGCTATTATTTTATAGTCCAGTAAGGTATTATCAAGAGAATTGACAATTGCGCCCTACAAACATTAAACAACTTTTCAAATAGAACTTCTATAAGCATTTCCCAGGAAACCTCAGCAAAGCTGTAAGGTAAATTGACCTAAATTATACTACTAGCTATTTCTTTCTAGAATATCCAAGAAATATTACATGTGAATAACAGCAATAAAATTACATGTGCTGGTTATATTTTCTGAGCATGCCTCAACATTAAGCAGTCTTGGTAACCAAAACACATAGTGACAAAATTATTTGTATATTACCACACCCAAGGGCGAGAGTCAAATATCTCATAAGCTGTGGAAAATGGGTATGAGCCAATCAGAGCCCGGGAGATAAGAGAACAGCACTTGACATCTGTATGATCTTAATCCATTTTTAAAAAACAAATTCACCAAGATAGCCTGTTCTCTGCTCATAACTGAAGAAAGAGAAAATTGTTAAATTCTCAAGACTCAATGTCACGATTTGGGCTGACTCTTAGCTGACTCATCAGTGAGTTTTTGGAGACTGTAAGTCACAGAGAGGGAAACTGTCCATCTTTCTCCTGAGAAGACAGAGATGGATTCGACCTGCCAGAGACACACCACCTTTGAGTTAGAAGCACAATTTCCTATGAACTAAGCTACCTTTTTTTTTTTTACTTAATTCATTTTATTTGTTATATAAAAACCACTTTGTGGTACCCACAGTTGGAGCCTAGGTGTGAGACTCTGGGAGCAGAGACTCTGCTCAAGATGGTCAGTGAATTCCTGGTAGGGAGACTTGGTGAACAGTCTCTTTCCAGAGGTCCAGGGTCATGTAGCTATGGGTCTTGGAGATGGCATCAGAGGCGGCCTTAACAACCATTACATTACCTGAAAATCACGTTTCCTGCTCGATCTGCCTTCCAGGCTTTCACCAAAGCAAAATCTCCTGTAATTGCTTCCTCCAGAATAAAGTGCTGACCATTAAACTCCCTCACCTGCAAGGAGATGAAAAGAACAGTGTCAGGTATGTGTTGGATGATGGCATGCCAGGTAGAGTCAGGCAACAGAGGGTGAACAAAGCCTGAGCAGAGAGACTTTCTCAGAAGAAGAACCTAAACCGAGATCTCAAGGATGAGTCATGTTACCCAAAGAGGACTTAGTCAAAGTAGGTTAGGAGGAATCTGAGCAAACAGCACATATCTAACAATAAGGGAGAATTCAAAGTATCCAAGGAACTGAAAGGTCTTTAAACCTAATCAAAGATCTTGGATGTGTGTATGATGATAGTAATTTTATTATTTATGTTACATGTTTATATCCTGAACACAAAAAGCACTCCTTTCCCTCTGTCCCATAAAAACCATAATCTGCATCACATGTTCAATGCAGCTTTTGGATTCACAATAGTTATAAAACTGTATTAATTTTCTCTAATTAAAACATAGTATCTGTTGACATTTTAATTGGAATTCCAAGTTTGTTTGTTTGTTTGTTTTTTACTATTGTGAACAGAATGACATGCCAGACTTCTGACTACCCCATATATTGCTAAAAACTAAGTACGTCTTGGAGATGTTACAACCAGGATGCGCCTTAAAAGCAAGAAGCAATGCATGACATTTCGTCACACATACTTTGGACATGTTGTTAGGAGGAGCCAGACCGTGATAACGGACATTGTGTTTGGAAAGGTGAAGGGTCAACAAAGGGGAAGACCGTCAGTAAGAGGGATTGAGACAGTGATTGTAACAGCGAACTGCAGTAGAGATGGTAAGGATAACACAGGATAGGACAACGTTCAAATCCATTGTTCATAGGGTCACGATGAATAGTAGCTGACTCCACAGTACCTAACAACAATGTTGTTGTTGTTGTTGTTGTTGTTATTGATTGCCTTCAAATCAAGCATGAATCATAGCAACCATATGAAGATTAAATATATAAAAAAAACCAAAACTAATCTTTGACAAGTCAGTTCTGACTCACAGGCACTAGCTTAGTATTTCAGAGTAGAACTGTACATCCATGAAGCTTTCAATGGCAATGACTGTTCACAAGTAGATTGTCAGGCTTTTTTCTGAAGCACCTCTGGGGAGATTCAAGCCAACAACCTTTCATTTTGTAGCCAAGTGATTAACTGTTTGTACCACCCAAGGACTTCAGGAATACAAATACAGGTTTCCATTTAGTCAGGACTTTTTAAACCATCAACTTTTTCAACAGTTTTGTAGTTCTCTGTAAAAGCTGTGAATATTATTTTTAGGTTTATTTAGAGGTACTTTATGCCTTCTCTTGCTGTTCTGAATGTTATATTTTCTCTTCTGATATTACTGGTCTAATGGAATGCTATTGATTTTTAAATGCTTAATGCCTTTTAATTCTATCAATTTTGGTGAGGGGAAACATAAGGTAAAGTTATGTCTTAGTGTTATATGCAATCTTCCTCTCTGGAAATCTATTTTTGGGAATTAAAACAAAGAAGAGAGAAAATAACATCAATTGTGGGTTGCCACTACACAGGATGAGAGCTAGTTAGCAGGAGAAAGAACTCCATTCATGTCCCCACTGTGCCCCCCAGTGGACAGACTGTGCATTTACCTTTTGAAAACTGGTTTAAAGCAGCAATCCTTTCCTAAAACTTTTGGGGAAGGGTGCATGTGAGGGATGTGTCCTACCTCCATACCTTTTCAATCTATATGCAGAACAGATTATCTGGGAGGCTTGGCTCTAGGAGGAAAAATGTGGTATCAGGATTGGAGGAAGACTCATCAACAATCTGCATTATACAGATGACAGAACCCTGCTTGCTGAAACTGAGGAGGACCTGAAGTGCTTGCTGCAGAAGGTCAAGAACTGCAGCCTTTGATATGGACTGAGGCTCAACATCAAGAAAACAAAGATTCTCACCACTGGGCCAATTCACAGCATCATGAAAGATGGTGATGAGACTGAGATTGTTAACAGCTTTAGTTTGCTTGGCTCCACAATCATCACACTTGGTACCAGCAGCCAGGAAATTAAAAGACGAATTGCATTGGTAAAGTCTGCTGTCAGAAACCTCTTCAAAGTATTGAAGAGCAACGATGACATTCTGGAGACCAAGGTGAACATGATCCAGGCCATAGTCTTTGCAATTACTTGTTACGCATCAGAGAACTGGACAATGACTAGGGATGAGAAAAGGAAAATTGATGCCTTTGAGTTGTGGTGCTGGAGAAGAACACTGAATATGCCATGGACTGCTAAGAGAACAAACAGGTTTGTCCTGGAGAGGGTGAAGTAAGGCTGCTCTTTAGAGTCAAGGATTCTGAAGCTTCATCTGACATACTCTGGACATGTTGCAAGGAGGGACCAGTCCCTGGAGAGGGACGTCATGCTTGAGAGCGTGGAGGGACGGCGCAGGAGAAGAAGACCCTAGATGAGATGGATTGATTCAGTGACTGGGATAATGGGGGTAGGTGTGTCAGAGACAGTAAGACTGGAGCAGGATAGAGCAGGGTTTAGGGCTGTTGTACATATGGTCACTATGAATTGCAGGCAAATCAATGGTACATAACAACAAAGCATGATGATGATGATGATGATGATGATGATGATGGTGATACAGATGCAGATTTTCCCCATACTTTCCTTCTCTGACATTATGTTTCATATAGTCATTCCCACACATTGTGGTTTATAAAAGTAATCAACATTGGACTATGCCCACGATGACCCTGCCTCTTCAGGTCCCTGCTGGATCTTTCCCATTTCCTTTACCCCCTCCTTCCATTATTGTAAAAAATAGAAGGATAACTAATAAAACGTGTATGGGGGTCCAAGGAGAGAAGGAGTAAAAGCAGAGGCGTGAGGATAGGAAGGAGGAAATCATAAGGTCTTAACGCTTTTTTGAAGGCCATTATACTACTTTTCTGCTTGAAAAGATTAGCCAACTTTGAGACTCTTTGGTTAAGGAGGATCTTATTAATACAAACTTTTACAAAATATAACCTCCATATAAGCATTTCTCTCTCAACGGGCATTGAGTAAAGCCAACAAAAACACTTCAAAACCATTACTGCAAGACTAATAATGATAACTGAGTATTTCATATACAGATCCAGAAAGCTGAGCTAAATAATGCTAGCCAAGGACAAAGTCAAGAAATTCATGGTGCTTTTTTGGATTTGTTTTCTGTTGTAAGTAAATGATGTTCTGATGGGTCTAATCCCGCTCAGGCTGATTCTACTGTGGGGAGGCTGGCCTGCCCCAGTCACAATCTGAGTGCCTTCCAACCTGAGGTGCTCATCTTCAAGCACCATCTCCAACAACAAAGCCCTGTTATTTCAGAAGTGGACGGCCAGTCTTGTTTCTTAGTCTGGAAGCTCGGCTGGAATCTATCCACAAGGGGTGACTTTGCTATAAATACCAGTGGCATAGCTTCCAGCATCACAGCATGCACAAATCATTACGGTATGACAAACTGACAGATGAGATGGATACCAGGTTTCCAATCTGATAGTAGGCTTCAAACTGGTTCAAAGCAGTCTAGTCACAGCCAATGCAATGGAACTGAAAAAGACTCAAATTTATAAAATGTGGGCACATTGGAATAACAGCCAGAATCGGGGAAATTAGGAGTGACGCCTTAAAATAGAAGACTGGAAGAGTCATAGTGAACAGCATACATCCAAAGTCATGCATCGGCCATCATCTCTGAGCCTGGCACAGGTGCTTCACATGCGGCAGGTAAGATTTTGTTGCTGTGAACTGTGCACACAACACACAAAGGAAAGCCAAGTTTCTAGCAGGGTCTCAGTCTGTCATTTTTTTTCTACTTTTGTTCATGGTTCCTACACACGTACATTTTACAAGTTCAAGTCTATTCCAGGTATCTCTTTATTGACCACAAATGAACAGGAAACAAGTGATTCAAATTGCAGGTCTACCTATATCTACTGTATTATTTTTGTTGTTGTTAGATGCCTTCAAGTATGACCTATAGTGATCCTACAAACAATAGTTCTGAACACTGTCCTATCCTGTGACAACCTCACAATCTTTGACATTACTGCCATCACTGTGTCAAGCCATTGGTTAAGGGTCTTCTCCTTTGCCATCCTCCCACCCTTCCAAGCACAATATCCTTCACCTAGGAATGGTGTCTCCTAGCAACATGCCCAAAGTATGAGACAAAGCTTCACCATGCTTTACTCCACGGAGCACTCTGGCTGTACTTTCTCTAGGACAAATCTGTTTGCTCTTCTGGCAGTCAATGGGATAGTCATTACTGTTCTCTAACACCACAGTTCAAAGGCATCAATTTTTCTTCTGTCATCATCATTCCCTGTTGTGTTGTTGTCGTTGTTATGCGCCATCGAGTCATTTGCGACTCATAGCAACCCTATGTACAACAGCCCTAAACGGTGCTCTATCC